ACCTTGGGGGAAGCAGGCACCGGTTGGTGTATCAGGTGATAGTTTAGATTCACACCCAAAAATGACATCAGGAGCATGATGTTCGACTGTAGCCTTGAAGATTGCCACTCTTTCTGGGCTCAGAATACTATTACAGTTTATTTCCATGCACTTGAGCTTGATTTTAGGTTTCAATTTTGGCCTTTTGGGTGTAGAGTGAACGTAAAAGGAACGCAACAGAGTTGAGCAAATATATCTGGTCCCTAAAGGATGCTGAAATGGAGTTTTCCGTGACCTGGAAAATAAAAGCTCGCGCCAGGCCGTACTCAAATACTACAAAGAGATGCAATCTTTGCATAGCTGAAAAATTCTTTATCATACGCAGAACAGGGGCGGGCACCCTAAACAAAAGGAATGAACTGGCGAGTGCGTGCGGGCACTCAACTAAATATTTGATAAGGCATGCTCAAACCACCTACTTAAAAAAGGACTGTTGGTCAACTAGTATCTTATCCACCTGATGAGAGAGGACTTTTAACCCTTTCGAAACAGATCTGTAGTGCGAAGTTTTAGTGCGAAGTTTTAATTTTTACTTTCCTAAATAATTGTTTACAATGCTCCATGATTGTAGAGCACTCTCCAATTCAAGGATAAGGTTTTTTACGTGTATATATATGCATATATATGTAACTACAGACAGTACCATTTCGGCCTTCTGGGCTTCATCAGTGCAGTGCTCATATTTAACAATTATTCGCCAAAGGTGAGGTGAATATCGTCGAATAATCCCTGAGACGAAGTCGAGGGGATTATTCGACAACATTCACCGAACCTGAGGCAAATAATTGTTTTAGTATAATTTCAGAGCTGAACAACAGAGGAATCTCTAAAATCATAACATTCTAGTAACATTTATTAAAATTTTAGCTTAACATTTCATATAAACCGCGCAGAGCGGTTTATATAGCATCATATAAGGAACCGCTCAACCAATCAGATTGCTGGAAACTCTTTGCTCAGCTCTGAAATTATACTAAATACATATATATGTATATATATGTATACATATTTAGTTTAATTTCAGAGCTGAGCAAAGAGTTTCCAGCAATCTGATTGGTTGAGCAGTTCCTTATTATGATGCTATAAAAACCGCTCCACGCAGTTTATATAAAATGTTAAAATAAAATATTAATAAATGTTACTAAAATGTTATGATTTTAGACATTTCTCTGATGTTCAGCTCTGAAATTATACTAAATTTGTCTCAAGGATTATTGAACGATATTCACCGAACCTGAGGTGAATAATTGTTAAACATAAATGGGTTAAACTTGGTATCCGTAAAACAGTGCTTGATAGGTAGAGTAGACAAGGCGCGACAAAAGTGCTGTCCAATAGCCCGGGGCTAGTGCAATGACTTGTCGGGCTAGCGTTTTCTTATCGCAGCTTGCCCGATGGGCAAGCACCACCATTGGTTCCTCTGTTCTGATGATGATAAACTGAGGTTTTATACCAAAAATTGTATGGCAGAAAGCTCCTGAGGGAAAAGGACAACGTTATGAGGCCAAATTATCGTAGCATGACAACGTCTTATGCCGCATTTTAGTTGCATCCGTAAATAACATCATGACTTTTTCTGTTTACATAAGTGGCCAAAATATATTTTTTGAAATGACAATATTTGCCAACTGACAGCGTGCAGTGCGAGACAATCAGTCTAATTAAATTCCAGCCAAGTCACGGTTCAGTAGATTTTCTCGGAATTTTAGGTGCGTTTCTTTGGGAAAATCCAAATCCGAATTCTTCTTTCTATTTTAAGGCTGCAAATTCATTATTAAAACAAAAAAGGCCCACTTCGTGTAAAATTAAAAAACAAGAAAATGCTCGCTTGGAGAAAAGCTAGCAGACCTGGCGCCGTTATTGAGTTGTGTGTTTGCTTTCATTTTTTATCAGATGCTAACAGCGCCAGGTCTGGAAGAGTTTGTCAGCTTGACAAGCTTTGAAGAGAATTTACTCCATCGAATGTCGACAGACTTCAGATTACAGTGGTAGTTTAATTGACTGATCGCAACGTTCATAACACTAAAAAATAACTGTGTTGTGATTTCCATAAATTTATAGTATTTTTCACTGTCGACGGGGTAAAATGTAAACATCGAAGGAACGAACCCATTCGAGTGCAGAGGTTATTTTTCCTTTATTATTTCGCCCATGTTTGAATTAAATTTTACTTTGAAGCAGTCAATTGCAATCACAAGATTAGATCACATGACTGTATTTGGAATAGCCCATTTCCAAATTACCCTTGGCCTCTTTTTCAAAACGAGGCTTGGTGCTCAACCATTCTTGTGAAAATGAGTTTAATTTGCATGTGAATGAAAACTTATAATCATATAAAAGGATGAGCACCAGGACTCGTTTTGGAAATGAGGCCAAGGGTAATCTGGAAATGGGCTATTCTCATCCACAAAATTTTGATGTAAGTTGTAACTGCAACTTCTGGTGGTCAGGTATAAAAACTGGTCGTTTCTGTTACATTGTTTAATTTGAGGTTAAAGTTAAAACGAAAATCACATTCAAGAATCAAAATATACGAAGAATTAGTTTATATCTATGCTTGGCATCATCACTTGTATTTTGCATAAATAAATCTATTTATTCTTTCTAAACAATTTAATTTCGGGCTAGCTCCTCAGACCTTCAGGCTAGTAATCTCAAGTAACAGCTTGCCCAAAGGGCAACCTTATCTTTTCATTTTCATCTCACCCTGAGTAGAGTGAGTATAAGGTGTGATAAGCAGAAAAAAAATCAATCAACTACATTTCATCCCTACAGACCTGTTTCGTGGTTGCCCACTCATCCCCTGATGAGTGGGACAACCACAAAACAGGTCTAAAGGGATGAAATGTAGTTGATTGATTTTTTTCTGCTTATCACACATTATACATATATATACATAAATATAATTATAATGTGTGGTAGACAGAAAAAAACAACCACATATACATCCCTACAGACCTGTTTCATGGTTGCCCACTCATCAGGGGATTTTTCCCTGATGAGTGGGCAACCACGAAACATGTCTGTAGGGATGTATATGTAGTTTTTTTTTTTTCCTGCTCACCACACATTATATCCGTTCTACTATTTGTATCGAGCACTGCTTCACAGACACCAAGTTTAATCCCTCTACATATCTATATATGCATGCATGTATGTATGTATGTATACAAGTATATATTTAGGAATAACTATGAATAAAGCTGTCTTTCCTGGAAAGCTAGCTGTTATGCATGTGTTCTGCCAATTTGTTGAACAGCAGCTGGTCATCAAACCAACTTTGTATTCATAATTTATCAATTCAATATAGTAAGCTTTCTTACAGTGTGTTTTCATTCTAGGAATTACACATCTGATATGACCAGTAGGTTTAAAGTGTATTTTATACAAATCAACAAAAAAGCAATCCAAAAGTAATAAAGTTCATGTTCCAAGGTCAATTCTCTGAGCCAGAATGAGCACTAACACTCCAAAGAATATCAACCCCTAATGCTATGCAAGTTGACTACATGAACAAGATGTTTCTGCACATTGAAAATTCAGTTCCTGGACTCAGAGTTGTGAAAAAGAGACTTACAACTTTGGGCTGTGTAAAAGCAGTTGTAACAATCAAATTAAAGGCCATTCTCATTGACAAAATTCACTATCATAATGGGGTTTCAAACATGCCAAATATTTCTGAGTATGTCATTCTTGCCCCAGTGTGAATTCAAAGGTTGTTATCAGAAGTTTCCAACAGAAAAATAAAAGAATGGATTTTGAGTGCATTTGCCAGGAAAGCATGTGTGGTTCCAGAAAATATCCATACCCCCCCCCCAGGGAAGATCATCGGAAATTCTGAGGTGGAGGGGGGTTCAAGGGCAGTAATTTGCGCGGGGTAGGGGGGTTTCATGGGAAACTACTTTTCCAAAGGGTGACAAACCACGTACAAACATTGAAAGCAACATATGATCGATCTGAAGCACAAAAACATACTCACGTACGTTGTTTTGGAACAAAAGTCAGTACTCCTGGCCATTGAGATAAAGTTAACATTATAAGCTTTAATATTTCTGTTTTTGTTTGAGTTAGCTAGTGCTACAACCTCCCAAAGCTAGGAACGGAGTCAAATATTGTCATTATTCACGGTTGTCGGAGTACTTTCGTTCCCATTTCTTGCTCGACCTTCAGAAGGCCCGGTTACCTAGCCACCGTAATAAATCGTGATGATGTTCACGAAACCTAGTTAACATGTGTGTGCTAGTGAAGTTTTCAGTCTTTAAATAAGAATCAACCTGAAGAAAGTGATAAAATGTGTAGACAAAGGAACCTTGTAAGTTTCTGTTCTATTTACTATCGTTTGCAAAGTTGTTTAAGCGAGTGAAACATTCTCATCTGAGTTATCACAAAAACGTACGTGGAACAGTCGACATTTTCAATCAGTTTCAATTTTGCAACCCAGATTTTTAAGCTTATAATCTTACATAAAAACAGCACGGATATGATTTAATGTTTTTAGTGTTGTAATAATAATAATAATAATAATAATTATTATTATTATTACATAACTAACTTAGTATTCACTTTCTCTTTTTGTGAGTACAAAAACTACTGAATTTCCAAGGGTGGTATAAAGTCCCAGATTAAAATACTGGAAATTCTTGGGGGGTGGGGGGTCATCAAACGTCCCCTTGAATGGAAAATCGTGGGGGGTGGGGGTGCATATCAAAAAGTCTTCCATGGGGGGTAGGGATATTTTCTGGAACCACACCATACAGAAAAAGTACAAGTATAAAGCTATGGAATAACATAGCTGAATACACAGTCATTTTTGGAAGACCACACTTAGCAGAGAGATGGCACAGCAAATGTTTTTCCACATTGAAAGTAACATGAGATAGAACATTATCAGAAATGAAAGGTGTGTCTCTACCAGTGGGGTTAGTAGGGTTAGTGGCACCTCTTTTATCTTCCATGCATACCTGTTTTTGCCTAGTTGAGGCTTCTCTTTCATACAGATCATTTATGATCTTTTTTTCATTCCAGTCTTTGCCCTGAAAAGCCAACAAAAGCCAACACAAAATGAATACAAGAGACATTATGGTACTGCACTAATTGGTGATTACAAGATTTGTTTTATCAACTATGTTAATGATGTAAATAGCCACTGTAAAATTTTCTAATGCTGACATTTGGAGTGTTAGCCCTTCATCAGAGCAAAAGACAAAGGGCTAATGAAGGGCTCATGAAATTTAAAACTTAACTAAATAACTTTATAATCTTTTTAATTATCTACTGTAAATAACTATCATCTACATAATTATGTAAATGTATTTGACTTTTAAATTTTTCTAGTGTCCCCCATTAGCTTATAGCTAAAAACATAGACACTTAAATAAAGTTTTTCATTCATTTTCATTTCTTTCACTCATGCTCCAAACTTGAATATTTCCAAAGAACAGATGTCCAAATTTACAGCTTCCATTACTTGCATTTTTTGGGAGAACCAGTCACAGTTAAAAGTGGGCAGTATCCTAAATTATTTTTTTCTAAGTTTGTGAGCAGGCAGTATACTACAAGTTCTATACTATAGTTCCAAGGGCAGGCAGTTTTCTCCCATTTGGCCTGCTCTCAGCAGGTGGTATCTGCCTAAAAACTATTTGTTATTTAATAACCCTGCACAAAAGTAGCATAGAAAGTGGAAAAACAAGGTATTTGCACTTGACAATCACATTAATCAAGGTGACTTGCAGTTACTTCATATCTGCATTTTTGGTACCCATAATAGTAGCCCTAAATCATTTGGGTTCTTTTGGCAAGCACTTGGTTAAACGTTAGGAAAAAATAGAATTGTTAATCACCAGCCTAGGTCAGTCCATAATTGGAAAAGCTGTGCCCTCTGTCTTGAGATGACCTCAGGCAGCCTCCCAGACCTTGGGCAGAGTTCTTTCCCAATACAGACCCCCAGATTGGTGAATAACATATATCACTCTATGAATATGGTGAAAAAAAGCGGTAAGTAACTGTGGTGCCTGCATGGGTGACCTGGTGGCAGCAAAACTTTGATTTTGTAGAAGCGAACAACACAAAACTGTCCATAAAATAAGTACAATTAAAAAAACTAGATCATTGGATAATGCAATTCAAAACTTTTTATTGGCTTAGCCAGTATGGTATATGAGCCAATATACCATAATCTAATATCTGTACATTGTAACATCTGGTTTCTTCTAACAAAATTAAGTCGAGAAGATTTGTCTAGTATCTTGGGGGCATTTTTTTTAAAAAAACAATTATTCCACTCGTGCTTGTTGGACATGAGATGGTTATAGCCAACTCGGCGCTACGCACCTTGTTGGCTATCTATCATCTCATATCCAACGCCCACTCGTGGAATAATTGTTAAATCTATCTGCTAGTGGGATAGTCATCCTGGTCTTCACTGGAATGAGAAAAACTCTCAGTAACTGAACAAATGGTATTCACAATGCCCCTTGATCTCTCTTTTATTAAGTTAATTTATAGGTTTTCTGTGTCAGATATCATTTAATTCTCTATTGTTAGGCATTGTCTTCACTAAAATATTCTAGACTTTTGACCGTGCAGGTGTACCTTGCATTTGAACAATTTTGGTCCAACTATTAAGATCAGTAATGATTTCCAAGTTTCACCCCTTGTCTATGAAACAATGACTATGCCATTTATGGTAATTTCAAAAATTTATGTAAAGGTTTTTATTTGAACATAAAATTTGGGCAAATCATGTGCACATATTAAGAACTACATTCAGTTGCAAACTACCCTGGGTACCAGAGGGCATTTTTCCTTTTTTTTTTTTTTTTTACGCAGTGAAACTTCTAACAGTGAGTACCAAAGCCGCGATCATCAGTAAGTGAAAAAAAAAACAAAAAAAAACCCTCTGGTCATGGCAATTACAAGCCTCACTTCCATGTGATTTTGAAATCAGATGTACACTGATTGTACTGTACTCACCACAAAATTTGTCAACATAGCTCCATCATCACCTACTCCATATTGTAGTCTGTCACTTCAAATTTAACAAATCATAATAGATTCAAATTGCACCACCAGTGGCACGTAATTGGATTAACTCATCTTCCCCTACTTTTTATGACCAAACTGGAATGGTAATTGGGGTGGTGGAGGGTGGAACCAAACCCAGGGATGGAGACGCCACCAACAAACTCAAACCACATGTTGTGTTCACTAATAATTGTAACACAAATCAACACCAGAAAAAATAGTATTGGCCAAAATTGAATCCCTAGTAAGAAATGTGAGGTAGATCATTAATTATCAAAAGATTTCTCTCAGTTGTTTCCATTTTGTCAATTTGAACAAGATAGGCTGCTACTTGTATTCACTTCTACCATATCAAATCATCCTCACAAAGATGCATCCCTTCACCCCTTTAATTTCTCCGACAAATTTCTAGCAAAGTATAGGGTTTGAAATTTATGGAGGCATTCTTATGAAATTTTTGTTGTTTGAATAAAGGAGCAGAATGGCTCCTATATTAAAAACATTGCCACAAGGGTTTCTGAATAAAGGATTTATGAAGAAAGGCTATCAGAATAAATATACAGGCAACAGTTTAAAGCATGAACATGTATGAACAGTGCCCACCTGTATAGAGAGCCAACAAGTCTCCAAGTGTAACTCTCTTGAGAAATGAGATGCAATATGTCAACTTGTTTAGAAAATCTACCAAAAAAACACATTTTAAGATTTCTCCACCATCAAATAAAATGTTCTTAGTTTAAAGACATCTTTTTTGAGTCAAAAGTTTCTTAACTTACACTGTACTTTAGTCGAGGAGAGGAGACCAGAGAAAATCAACCTTAAACGCACCCCCACTGCACAAAAGGTTTGACATCACATTATGATAGCCTGATGCCCAGAGGACATCACTACACTAGTCCTGGCCACAAATTGTGGGGTCAGTGATTTGCTATTAGGGGCTTGTAATTATGTGTTCAGGAACTCCTCAGCAATACAACCAGAACTAAAAAAAAAAAAATTTAAAAATAAAACAAAATTTGGAGGGGTGGTGTAACTTTGGGAGTTAGTTGATGTGGGACCATGGAAAAAGTTGAAACTGTCACCATGGTGACAGTTTATAAGGAAACTATAGGAAAATTTACCTTGTGATATAAAATGATAGTAAACAATGCTGAAAAGAATACAAAACAGATGTTGGTCAGTTGAGGAGTCAATAACCTCTGATAAGAGCTCCTGATTGCAAGAAGTTTGTTGGTCAATTGGGGAGTCAATGAGCTCTACAAGAGCCCCTGATTGCCAGAAATTTTGGGGAAGGGGGAGGCAATGAGCTTTGAGAAGAGCTCCCAATAGCACAAAGTTTGTGGTTCAATTGGGGAGTTAATGAGCTCTGTTAAGACCTCCCATCAGCACATAAATTGTTGGTCAACTAGGGAATACATGAGCTCTGACAAGAGCTCCCAATTTCAAGAAGTTTGTGGGTCAATCAGGAGTCAAAGAGCTTTGGTCAATTGAAGAGTCAACGAGCTCTATTAAGAGCCCCTGATCACCAGAAATTTGTTGGTTCATTGGGAAGTCAATAAATTATGATAAAACTTGAGATCACAAAAATTTTGTTGGGGGGGGGGGGTTAAAGAGCTCCAGACCACAAGAAATAAAATTAATTTGTTGGCAGATTAGGGAGTCAATGAGCTCTGATAAGAGCTCCCAATAACACAAAGTTTGTTGGTCATATGGCAGTCAGTGAGCTCTGATAAGTGCACCCAATTGGAAGAAGTTTTCTTGGTCAATTGGGAGGGTCTATAAGCTCCAGTAACAGCACTTCACTACAAGAAGTTTGTAGGTTGGATGGGGAGTCAGTGAGCTCTAACAGAAGTTTATAATGGCAGGAATTGTTGGTCAGCTGAAGAGTTCCTGATTGGAAGGAATTTATTGGCTGATCAAGGAATAAGTGATTTTGATAAGAGCTCTGGATCACAAGTAGTTTGTTGGTCAATAGGGGTGATCAAAGAACTCTGACAAGAGCTCCAGATTGCAAGAAATTTGGTAGGGATTATGGAGTCAATGAGCTCAGACAGGAGCTCCTAATGGCACAAAGTTTGTTGGTCAAATGGGGAGTCAATGAGCTCTGATAAGAGCTCCTGATTGCAAAATGTTTGCTGGGTAAGTAGGGAGTTGAAGAACTTTGAAAAGTGCTCCCAGTTGCAGGAAGTTTTTGAGTCAATTAGGGGATCAATGAGCTTCAATAACAGTGCCCTATCACAAGAAGTTTGTCACTTGAACAGAAATCAACTGAGCTCTGACAACAGCTTTCGATGGCAGGAATTTTTTTGGCCAGTTGGGGAGCCAATAACTCTAATAAGAGCTCCTGATCTCTTGCGAGTTGGTTGATTGGAGAGTCAATGAATTCTGATAAGAGCTCTTGATCACATGAGGTTTGTTGGTTGATCAGGGTGCAAATGGGCTCTCATGAGAGTTCCTGATTGCAAAGAGTTTCTTAGTTGTTTAGGGAGTCAATGAGCTCTAATAAGAGACTCCCAACTGCAATAAATTTGTTAGTTGATTGTGGCATCAATAAACTCTAATAAGTGCTTTCAATCCCAGTTATTATACAATTGGGGAGTCAAGGAGCTTACGTTTGATGTTGAGCCCAATGTTTATCATTCAATCAAGTATTGACCTGTATGTCATAATTGGCCTGAGACAGAGGTCTGGAATGATAGTTTCTTACCACACATGAGCGAGCTGCAATTATTACAGTTACCACAGCTGTGTGGGATTTATCAACTGCATTAATCATAGATGGTATGGCAATTGTGTAGATGAGGAGGAATGTGCATCAATAATAAATACCTCAAAGTCTTAAGTGCCCCACAAGCGAAGGCTGCCATTGTGTAGATGTTGCATTTGCTTGCCATGACAAGGAGAACTCCATTAGATATGATGACCAAGTCATTTGAGGGTCATCTACTAAGAATATCAACATCATTCATACCAGTCCCCCAAAAATGGAACAGTGTTATTTTAAATCTATTGAATAAGACCACCATAAAGGTTAATGTAAGCAGGGTTTGTACATCTTTTCAGGCCAAAGATTCAAGGACTTTTCAGGACCCTACTTAGAAATTTCAAGGACTTTTTGTAATGACAATTTTCCCTCAAAACCAAGAAAAATGTTTCTGTTAACATCTATGTTTTGTGTTGACCGATGGTGTAAAACAAAAGCAGGTATTTTTCAATGTTGTTCAATAAAAAATCAAGGACTTTCAAGGACCCAAAACGAAATTCAAGTACTTTCAAGGTCTTGAAATCAGCCTCCTGAAATTCAAGGGTTTTCAAGGGTTTTCAAGAGACGTATGAACACTGTGTAAGAGGCAATTGATAAGAGATTGCAAAAAAGGGCACTTTATCCTTGAGAGAATTTGGTGCCAGCAGCATGCTTTGGAAATAGTCGGGATACAGTATCAGTGACACAAAATGGAAAACATCCTTTCCACCATCTGCCAGTAAGGTTGCATAATGGGGAGGCAGACACAAGAATGTTTCTCCATGCTGAAGACTGCATTGTATTTCAGTCACATGATACTGTTGTAGCGGTCTTCTACATCTCTACATATAATCATTTAGGATGTGACCAGCTATGGTTCTGCAATGGGACAAAAGACAACAACTGCAAATGTTACTAACCCTCCCTCCATAAAAAATAATTGGTTAAGCAGTTCTGGAGATATTGCCAAAAAATGTTCCTCAACTCACACATGTGTACTTCCAAAAACACCCTCATCCCAGCCCCCCCTAAAAAAGTTGTGTAGCAAGTCACAGACCCCACAATTTGTGACTATTACTGACAAGGCAATGATTATGGGTATCAGCCTATCATAATCCACAGTCAAACCTTTAGTGTAGTGGGGGCACTACATAGTGCCTTTCTCAAGCCTCTTTTTAAAATGCCCTCCTTGCCTACTTCAGTTTGTTTCATTTTTCATAGCATTTCAAACAACTATGATGAGAAAAAGGACCTTTCTAGTGTGATGTATGTCATACAAGACATCTATTTAAACAACAACAAACATATGAAACATATGTGTGAACTGCGGTTATGAGACGTATATGAGAACGATCCTTCGCAGTAAAGCACTATTTGAGCAATAGTGAAAATCAGACCTGAAAAAAATTTCAGGCCTGTACGGGACTTGAACCACTGACCTCTGCGATACTAGTGCAGCGCTCTACCAATTGAGCTAACAAGCCAACTGGGAGCAGGCCATCAAATTAATTCGATATAAACCCGTAGATGATAAATCAAACAAGAACAAACATATGAAACATATGTGTGAACTGCGGTTATGAGACGTATATGTTGTTGTTTGATTTATCATCTACGGGTTTATATCGAATTAATTTGATGGCCTGCTCCCAGTTGGCTTGTTAGCTCAATTGGTAGAGCGCTGCACTAGTATCGCAGAGGTCAGTGGTTCGAGTCCCGTACAGGCCTGAAATTTTTTTCACGTCTGATTTTCACTATTGCTCAAATAGTGCTTTACTGCGAAGGATCGTTCTCATATAAGACATCTATTTGTTAGCAACATAAAAACTACATAATCAAATAGCTTTTGAAAGATTTCATTAAAGATTGTTATTCAAGTGTTGTGTGGGAAGTGTGAGGGGAAAGCAGTTTACATGTGCTGTGGAAGCTTTAAGGTTTTTCCAGTGTCTAAAAACCATCCTTTTCAGAACTGACATTCTTTATCATGAGTAAAGGCCTGAGAAATAATTGTTTTGATATTTTTCCTCGAATACCTGTGTTCACTTTAGTTTTCAAAATGCACATTTCCATTAACAATAAACAAAGGAAACAAAGTATGATGATGATAAGATTCATGAGGAAACAATCAATTCTGTTTCTTGTGTAAAACGCAACTTTCAGCATGGTTGCAACAAAACTGATTTCCAAAAAGTGACCTAAAATTTACATTGATACTGCATGGTTGCCATACCATTAAATACCTTCACTTCTGGGAGTGGAGGATGGAAGCAATGTTAATTGATGACTGAGTTTGTCCCCACTTTTGGTGAATGCTGTTTTTATTACTTTGTTTTTTTTCTTTCTAGTCCTAGGCACAGTTGTTTAAAGGCCCATTAGCACTAACCCAGGGTTAAATTTTAATCCAGGTTTCTATATTTCTCTATTCAAAAGCCTTTCTGGGAAAATTTTCCCCTTTGTTTTTTGAGCATTCAATCAAAAAATTGTAGAAAAAAAGAAATAAACTTAATTTTGTCCTTCAAGCTTTCAGGTCTAAAATAAAATTTCACACTAACCCTGGGTCATCTTAACACAGCTTTGAACAACCCAGCCCTGTTCTGCTAAATGTACTGTATCTCACAAGAAGTATTTTCTTTTAACCTTTGATAGAAATTTCAAAAAATGTCTATAGGGCAAAGGGAATTTTGGCAAAGATTATGAGCCTACTTTGCAGATGTGTCTGTTTCAACATACCTGATTAAGTATCTATAATAATAATAATAATAATAATAAGCATTTATATAGCGCTAAGTCGACTACTTCTTCATAGTGCTCTACAATATCTACTATACGATTAAAAAAAATACAAATTAATAAAAAAGAGATTACATAATTACAAAAGAAATTAAGGTATAAATTGTTAACTAAAGGCAAGTTTAAACAAATAAGTCTTCAAGTCCTTTTTGAAAACAGCCAAAGTGTTTGATGATCTAAGTGATAAAGGTAGTTTGTTCCACAGTTTGGGGCCAGCAGCCGAAAAAGCTCTGTCACCACATGTCTTCATAGATGTCCTTGTGGAATGCTCAAGAGTCTTTGTGAAGCAGAGCGTAGTAAACGAGAACTGGTACAATAATGTAAAAGTTCAGAAATATAAGCAGGAGCTAAACCATTCAGACCTTTGTAGACTAACAGGAGTATTTTAAAAATAATTCTATATTGAATTGGTAACCAGTGAAGCTTGCATAGAACAGGAGTAATATGATCAGTTTTCTTTGTGAGAGTAACAATTCTTGCAGCAGCATTCTGTATTATCTGTAACTTATTAATCATATAGGTTGGAAGTCCATAAAGCAGAGAATTACAATTATCCAATTCAGAGGTTATGTAGGCATGAATCAGAATTTCAGTAGTGTCCTGGCTTAGGTATCTTCTAATTTTACTTATATTCCTTAGATGGTAGAATGAGGCTTGACAGACTTTTTTCACATGTACATGCATCCTTGCGTGCTGATCACAGTGAACTCCCAGATTTCGTACTGATTCACTAGGACAAATCTTTTCCTCACCAACTTGAAGATGAGTTAAAGCAAGAGACTGACGATATCTAGCACTAATGAGTAGCAGTTCAGTTTTATCTTGATTTAGCTTCAATCTATTCAAGACCACCCACGAGTCAATGTGTTTAACACATGCCACTGATTTAGACTTAACCAAGCAGAGGTCTTGTTGTGATTGAGAAGGGAAAGAGACATAAATTTGTGAATCATCCACATATAGGTGGTAATGAAGATCATGAGACTTAATGATATCAGCGATTGGCGCTGTATACAGAACACACAGGAGTGGCCCCAGTACAGAACCCTGTGGTACGCCACCTAAGAATTGACGAATAGACGACTTGGTATTCTCGATCTGCACAAACTGCTCATGATCCTTAAGAAACAGATCTAAGAAATCTAAGAAACAGACTGGAAAATGAACTACAAACACTGAGTAAGTCTATAGGAAAGTTCATTTAACTGTACATTACCCTGCTGATTAAATATGATTTTGTATTTTAAGAAAGAATTTTGCAATTGGCTACATGTTGGCAAATTATCTAAGTTTGCATTTGAAACCCGATGTGGCTCAAAAATTAAAAATATAAATTAACTTTTGATTGACATCTTCCTTTGCATTGCTGACTGCTAAAGGTACCTAGAACTGATTGGTTGTCTGCAAGCTTTTGTAGAAGAAATTCAGACTGCCTCTGTACATTTCAAACTCATGGAGTTAAACTGTGAACTTCACAAGTTTGTTTTCTATGAGCTGATCAATGATCTGACAGTTTTTACTTCTTGGGTATGATAACCCAACTCAGCTTGGTAAAAGGTAGCTGATTGGCTAATTTTGTACTAATCAGTTCATTCCAGAATTTTTTTTTTTTTTTTTTTGAGTATTCTAAAAAGGTTTTAGTGTATGTTAGGCATAAAAGGAGTGGCATTGGTCCATCACATCTCTTAAACAAGCACGGTGACCTATCTGTTTATTGCATTTTTCAAAACAGACATTGGTAGGAAATATTTAAGGAAAGTTAAAAAAAATTGCTGAATACCTTTTTTCCTAAGGAATCACCCTAAGTAATAACATCTTGAATGCAAAAGTGTCATCAAAAGGCAGTCAAAATATTTCAAAGAGAGAGAAAAACACACTGTTGAACTGCAGCCATATCCCAGAGTGCAAACACTATGTCACCAAGCTGCCATCATATATTATAGAGTTGAAACAATAGTTGTAACACTTAACGCAAAAGATAGGTCACAAAGGGCTTTGTAATGTGTGGCAAAAATAAGAGCAATAGCTTTGAGAGTTATATCAAACAATACAAGTTTATCTTCCTAATCAATCTCTCATTCAAATATCGTTGATATTAAAACTTGCAATTTTCAGGAAAACATGTGTTTGCCATTTGCATTACTCTTGCTCAGTACTACATGCACACTGTAGCAAAGTGCAAAGATATTCATTTCTCCAACAGAGTGCTCCTCCTCAACCTTTCTCAAGTTTGTAAAATTAATTTTTACTGTTACATTCACTTTAGAGACATGTCACTTCAAAATATACACTTACTTAGTTTTTCCTGGTGATGATTGCCTAATCAATCCATTCAGAACCCGCAACTGTTGCCTACAAGCCTAAAGCAACTATACATTAAAAACACAATCTATAATACAGTAATGTATAACACCTAAGAATAAGTTCTACTGTACAGGAATTACCTTTTCATATCCAGCTACCACATCAAAAATATGCCTTGTATCTGGAAATGATGTTAATGCACTCATGAATTCTTCAAACAAGCTTGAACTGGCTGAAAATGAGATGTAACATGCAATAGATCAGTAACAATCACAGAGCTACAGTATGTATTTTCTGAAACATGTTCTTCCTCTTTTTCCTTCTTTAAAGTTTGTTTCTTTCTAAATTTTTCTTTGTATTGACCAAACATCTCAACAATACCAAATAAAAAAGATTGTCAAAACAGTTACAGAAGGTTAGTCTGGAACTACCTACTTCCACCATGTTAATAGGTTACATTTTCAGCCTACATGCATGCATACAAAAAGTCAATCTTCTTATAGATTACAATCTATAAAAAAGTTTCCACTTCACCTTGGACTATTGTTTGATGACAATTATGGTATTAATTTTTGCATATGGACAATACATTCACCATGATATTTTGTTATTATTTTGGGCATTTCTACTATTCAAATTTTACTTCAAACCCATAATAAAATGTTTGATGCACTAAATGTGGCCCTCCTGCAAAAATATCTAAAAAGGTGATGGATCCATGAAGTCAAAATTTGTGGTTCCACAACAAATGACTTTAGAATTAGATTTCGCAACCACAAATCTGCTATGGTCACTAAGAAAAAGACCTGTGAAGTAGCGGTACATTTTAAAAAAACACCACATGATTTAAGCGATTTCTCATTCCAATGCATTGATCAAGTGCAGGCGACAGTAAACAATTCAGGTAACATCGAGAAACTTCTAATTACCAAAGAAGCATATTGGAGCGCACAATTGTTCTCTCTGGCACCCTTAGGCTTGAATAAGCGCCAGGAATTTCACTCCAAAAAAGAATAAACTATAATANTAGCATCCTTTCGCAGATCTAAAAACCTTAAAGAATTGTTGGCGCCATCCCGTTATGGCCCTAACATTGAAAGCGAAGGGGTTGCTGAGGTCAAGGGATGTTTTAAATGTAATAGAACAAGATGCGATCTTTGTCGCAACTTCTTGGTTGAATCTAATTCCTTTTTAAGTTTTCAAACAGGCAAGAGTTACAAGATACGATCGAAACTTTCCTGTGATTCTAAGAACATAATTTATTTGGCTTCGTGCAAGAAATGTCGCCTACAATACATTGGTTCCACAACAAATGACTTTAGAGTTAGATTTCGCAACCACAAGTCTGCTATGGTCACTAAGAAAAAGACCTGTGAAGTAGCGGTACATTTTAACAAAACACCACATGATTTAAGCGATTTCTCATTCCAATGCATTGATCAAGTGCAGGCGACAGTAAACAATTCAGGTAACATCGAGAAACTTCTAATTACCAAAGAAGCATATTGGAGCGCACAGTTGTTCTCTCTGGCACCCTTCGGCTTGAATAAGCGCCAGGAATTTCACTCCAAAAAAAGAATAAACTATAATTAATGCGGAGAATTTTTTCAAATTGGGCGGGCATCAAAGGTCCCAGTCTCAGCTTTAATTGGGAATTTTAGTACAATTCTCGCCTTTCAAGTCAACGCTGGTTCCTTAACATTTTCAGTGGATTCGACAATTTTTCCATTTCTTTTTATTGTGATAATTTTTCGCGTAGTAATTACTGTGTTTGTTTATATGTGTCATCACGCCCTATATAAATCTATTTAAGGAATTTGTAAGTCATTGTATTACAACTGATGAAGGTCTCGGACCGAAACGTATTTTATTAAACTTTCTTAGACTTTTTATTTGAGTATATGTCTTTCTTAGCTCGAAGTTGTCCGTCCTCATGTACTACAATATTTTTCCTACTGTTTATTGAGGTTTGGACTGGGAATCCCTTTGGATCCTTCTGGCGCGGCATCACTGTTGGCTCAAGGCCTTTTAACTTGTTATATATATATATATAAATGTGAGGGTAGAGCCTACCTTGGCAAAAAGTGCTCAATGCTACGTTACCAGAGCTGGGTTATATATTAGTTGAAGAATCTAAGAGGACGCATCAATTCTCTGTTACTCTGAGTTTCGCGCCAAAGCGCTCATCAGACAGAATTTAATTCAATAAAGAACATACCTTCTTATATATAGCAGTTAATTAATTTGCTGGTGCGATGAAATAAATATAATTATATTCTCTGGGGGGGGCTATTGTTGGCAGATTGTGAAATTTGATAAGTAAAATTTATTCTCATGTCGGCATTTAGAAATAAGTTCTGTTCTTTTGTTTAATAAAGATGGCTTCTTAGCTGTAATTAGGTAAAGTTTCTCTGTGAGGCACAAGTGGCACCGCTTGCTTTTGTTGTTGTAGGCCAGGGCGGTTGCTAAAATACTCCAGTTAATTGTGAAGTTGGTGTTGCTGTCTTTGAGTGTCCAGATATAATTTGATAGTTTCGTGCTGCTTGAATAGTTTCTGTTTCGAAAAGAAAGTTTGTGCTGCGTGTAGCATTGTTTAAAGGTTCCTTCTGTTAGTCCAATGTAATTCTTTCCGGTTGTGTCATTTTCAGTTGTTACGTTGGCGTTGTAGATGACGCATGAAGTGAGGTCTGTTCTGCGTGGTCGTCAATTTTGAGCTCTCGCCCAAGAGCTCAAAATCGACGACCACGCAGAACAGACCGCAAAACTACAAACTTTTATCACCCTAAAAGACCATAAAGATAACTTCGCCAACCACCCTACATGCCGCCTCATAAACCCCGCAAAAAGTGAACTTGGAAAAGTCAGCAAACAAATTCTTGACAACATCAACTCAAAAATTAGAAAAACAACGAAGCTCAACCAGTGGAAAAACGAATCAGATGTAATCAATTGGTTCACCGACATACCCAGCAAGAAGAAGCATTCGTTCGCCTCGTTCAACATCGACAGCTTCTACCCATCCATCACAGAATCCCTTCTCTCTAACACAATTTCTTTTGCCAAGAATTACACCACAATCAGCAACAAAGACATCGAAATAATCATGCACTGCCGGAAATCGCTTTTATTCGACGAGACTGCCTGGACCAAAAAAAACCAAGCAGCATGTTTGACGTCACCATGGGCAGCTTCGATGGAGCAGAAGTTTGTGAGCTTATCGGGCTTTTTCTCCTGAATAGCCTCGGCGAAAAGTATGGCAAGAACAACGTAGGACTCTACAGGGATGACAGACTGGTGCTTCTAAGAAACACAAGTGGACCACAATCTGAATGGACCAGAAAGGACATCACACACGAATTCAAGAAACAAGGCCTGAACATCTCCATAAACACAAACCTCAAAATCTGCAACTTCCTAGATGTCACCCTAAACCTCACGGACGGAAGCTACTATCCATACAGAAAGCCCAACAACGAAACCCTTTACATCAACACCAATTCCAACCACCCACCAACAATAATAAAACACATACCTGCAGCAATCGGCCGACGAATCTCCCACATCTCCTCAAGCAAAGAACTCTTCAACAAAACCAAACCACACTATGAAAGTGCACTCACACAAAGCAGACACGACGAAAAGCTAACCTACACCGAACGCAAGAAGGACTTTTAGTTTTTATGTAAATACGTTCCACCTGAAGAAGGCCGAAGGCCGAAATGTCGCCACATTCAAGCTGGAACAGTTAGAAGTTTGCTTCATGTTTCATCGTTTTACACTTACTTAATATTTTCATTGAAGCACTGTATCCTCCTTGGATCCTTCTACTGGGAGCTCATCGTTTGGTTTACCTTTTTATTCTGTTTATATATATATATATTCTTGGACTTGATTTGAATGTATTTCGAAGAGTGCTCAACTCTTAGAAGAGCATTGATAATTATAATGAACTGGTTCAAGACTTCAGAGGTAGTTCATTGTTTTATTACGACAGCTCTGTTTCGTATGGTCTAAAATGACCACACTCATCAGGTAATTTCAAGGATTAACCGTTAACTTACAATTACTGGCTATAAAAGCTGGAATATGGTTGTTACTGGAGATATAAAAACAACGCTACTTATCCATATAAGTCAAGTGACTGGTATGCATAATTTCAGAGATTGTTACTTGATTATGAAGTTTTTAAGGAGGTATCTGTTTCTATGGGGGCATGAACCTGCTAGCTCATTTCGCTTGTTTAGACTGCAAAGTTCCTTTTTACATATGATCGTGAATTTTTCAAAAAGACATGAATAAGACCAATCTGGGAAGAAAGTTCTTAAATATTGTTGACAGATGCTTCCCGAAAAACCATCCATTACACAAGATCTTCAATCGCCACACACTAAGGATAAGCTACTCCTGCATCCCTAAAGTCAAAACAATCGTCACACAACAAAAAGCTACAGATTACAACCAGTCACAAAATTCACCACAAACACTAGACAAAGAATGTGACTGCCGCAAAAAAGACCAATGCCCCCTAGAGGGAAAATGCCTCGCATCAAACGTAGTCTACCAAGCAACAGTCACAACTGAAACGTCAACAGATTCATACGTGGGACTCGCAACAAACTTTAAAGAACGGTACAGAAACCACACAGCTTCCTTCCGACACCAAAACAAGAGAGACGAGACTGAATTATCTAAACACATATGGACACTGAAGGACAATAACAAACCTTTCAAGCTAGTGTGGAAAATCATCAAACAATGCAAACCATACAACAACATTACTAAGAAATGTAATTTGTCTTTTTGAAAAATTCATGATCATATATAAAAAGGAATTTTGCAGTCTAAACAAGCAAAATGAGCTAGCAAGTTAATGCCCTCATAGAAACAGATACCTCCTTAAAAACCTCATAATCAAGTAACAATCTCCAAAATTATGCATACCAGTCACATGACTTATATGGATAAGTAGCGTTGTTTTTATATCTCCAGTAGCAACCATATTCCAGCTTTTATATCCAGTAATTGTAAGTTAACGGCCAATCGTTGAAATTACCTGATGAATGTGGTCATTTTCGACCATACAACACAGAGCTGTCGTAATAAAACGATGAACTACCTCTGAAGTCTTGAACCAGTTTGTTATAATTATATATATATTTTTTTTACCTATTTCTTAATGACTCTTAAACTTTACATTGTAGTATATTTTATAATTATTTTATGTAGGGAGTGTCCTCGATAGGGATAATCTCCAACGCTTCCTTTTATGTATGCACATAATGAAATTGATTGATTTGATTTGATGTGATTTGATAACATAGTCCATCTAGTATAAATGGTCAAACTAGGTCTAACTGGTCAAACTCTATGGCCCAACTGCTTAAAATGGTCCAATGGATAAAATGAACCAAGTGGTTGAAGTGGTGAAACAGGTTGAAAATGGTCTAAACTAGATAAAAATGGTCCAATTGCTTAAAACAGTCTGACCAGATAAAAAGGTACAACTGGTTAAAATGGTCCAATTGGTTAAAACAGTCTGACCAGATAAAAAGATACAACTGGTTAAAAATTAATGGTCCAATTGGTTAAAATGGCAGAAGTGCTTGAGATAGTCCCACTGTTGATCCAATTGGTTAAAATGGTCTAACTTCATCCAACTGATTAAATGATCCAATCAGTTAACTAGTTACTTTGATACCGGACTGTAGAATTGGAACGTGAAAATGAATCAAATGATAAAATTTTGTACCCTGGATACTTTTCTAATTTCTCTGACTACTTGATAAAATTAGTGACAGCCCTGAGTGGTCCAATCAATTCAAATGGTCTACCTGGAAAACTGGTCCAACTGCTCAAAGTGGTTGACTATATAAAATGGTCCAAATGGTTAAAATGACCCAACTAGCAGCTTTAATGGTCCAACAAAATTAAATGTAGTGTACAGTTAAACATTACTCTACCAGACTGACCTGCAATCACAGGATCCTTCTCAGTCAAAATGCTGACATTCTCAGTTAGCTGCGACAATTCCACAGCACTTCCAGGTGAAAAATCCTTTACAAAGTAGAAAGGACTTTAAATGAAAAGCAGTGGTACTACCAGCGATCTAACTCCAAGGCCATCTTTACAGGAACATGTATTATTCATAATCAATCACTTCTCCTTTCTTTTAACAACAAACATATGAAACATATGTGTGAACTGCGGTTATGAGACGTATATGAGAACGATTCTTCGCAGTAAAGCACTATTTGAGCAATAGTGAAAATCAGACCTGAAAAAAATTTCAGGCCTGTACGGGATTCGAACCACTGACCTCTGCGATACTAGTGCAGCGCTCCACCAATACGTCTCATAACCGCAGTTCACACATATGTTTCATATGTTTGTTGTTGTTTGATTTATCATCTACGGGTTTATATCGAATTAATTTGATGGCCTGCTCCCAGTTGGCTTGTTAGCTCAATTGGTAGAGCGCTGCACTAGTATCGCAGAGGTCAGTGGTTCGAGTCCCGTACAGGCCTGAAATTTTTTTCAGGTCTGATTTTCACTATTGCTCAAATAGTGCTTTACTGCGAAGAATCGTTCTCATATACGTCTCCTTTCTTTTGTTGCAGACTACACACACATTTACAAACAGTTAATGGAAGATCAAAAATTAATTTTAAGTAACCTTAACCCTACATCAACCAATTGAGTCATTTGACCAATCAAATAGCTTTTCATAAAAATTGATGAAAAACTCTACATGATATACAATGTGCTTTCATACCTCAACAACTTGGGCGAGGGGTTTACTGGGAGTAAGAGGGTGGCTTAACCCACTATCTTCCATAAAGGACAATGAACCCTGCAGTGGGGAGGAAACAAGATTATTACAATTCAATTCTGATTATATGCTGGCACAACAAGTTTAGATTCTAATCAGTTACCAGGATGGTGTGGCCAGACATATGCTGAGGGAGGGATGACAGCAGTCCAGGAGGCAGTCCCTCACTAATGAAAGACATGTCCTACACAGGAAAAAAAGAAAGTTACCATGTTGCCATATGGGCCATTTCCACAGAAAAGGTCATAAGCTGTGTATTTCTGGTCGCAAAAACTGGCAAATTCAAAGTAAACAAGTATGGTCCCAGTGTCTTATAGTAAAGTACTCACTAACCTCGCTGGAACTGTGCATATATCCTTTTAGATGTTTTGGCGTGTAGTATCACTGAGTATTTTTACAAGTAGTGCCATATTTTGCCAAGCCAGTGAGCAAGTCAAAATACAAACAATGAGATAAAACTCTAAGCAATAAAACACACCAAAACATCTAATAAGTCATTTAGTATCCCACTGCTTTCTTTTTGCCATGTGTTTCTGTTCATTTATCATAAGGGGAGGAAAACCAAAGCAGACAGAGAAGTGTAGTGCTCGTGGCTGACTGGTTAAACAGGTTTTTTTCCCAGTACAAGAGAACCAACTGTGCAACATCGCAGGAAATTTGTATTCTGTTCATGCACTATTTGTACGCTACTCTGAGTAGTTGGGTAATAATGGGGAATACTTGCCCTTGCTTAGTTTTTGGCTCCGCTCTGTTTGTACCCCCCCACAACCTT